ACCCTAGCCGCTGCCGCGAAGCTGACGGGGCGGGCGAACTGGCGGGCGGGGAGGGCGGGGCGGACCGGGCAAGGGACGGGCAAGGGAGGTTGGCCGGCGGGTGCGGGGGCGGGCTGGCCGGCGGGGGCGGCGGCCTGACCGGGGGCGGGGGCGGCTCGAAGGTCCCGATGTGGTGTGGGAACTGGGAGACGAGCGAGCGATCGGGTGCGTCCGCTCGTTTTCGGGGTCCTGGGCTGGACTGCGGGGTGGCATTTTGATCGTAAATACGTGATACAATAGGGATATAACTATGCTTTGAAACGTTTTCTTTGGTGGGACTAGGCAGAATCCTGAGATTGTGGGAGAAGCCAGGTATTTTGAGATTTTGAGATTGCATTAGGATTCTGCAGAATTCGGTTGAGATTTTGGAATTTCAATCGAGTTCTTTTTGGTCGGGATTTTCGGAACCGAGATTCTCCATAATCTGCTAAAAAGAACTGGGCCTAGGAGTTGAACGGCTCGATCTGCTATATCGTATGAAAATCGGACTTGTACAGTCGTACCCTTACCAGCACTCTAAACCCTTATCGCCGATAGACTTGCGACTGTGGGCCTGTCGAACGAGAAATTAGGGAGTTTTCCAATTTCCATGGTCCGCAGCCGCCGCCCTCTCGCGTCCTCCGTCATGCCGCTGGACAACGACGATCTCCTCCGTGAGATCCTCCTCCTCCTGCCTCCGCGACCGTCCTCCCTGCTTCGGGCCTCCGTCGTGTGCAAGCGTTGGCACCGCCTCGTCTCTGATCCCGGCTTCCTCGGCCGCTTCCGCGCGCACCACGGGAAGCCCCCGGTCCTCGGCTTCTTCTGCGCCAATGCTTATACCGGTTATTACTTCAGTCCCACGCTGGACCCGCCCGACCGCATCCCCGCCGCGCAATTCTCCCTGCCGCAGCGCCACGGGGAGAGCTTAGACTTCGCGGAATGCCGCCACGGCCTCGTCCTTTTCCTCAACAAGGAACTGCCCGAGGCCGTCGCGTGGAACCCCATCTCCGGTCGCCAGCGCCGGGTATCTGTTCCACCGCAGTTTGACAACACTGGAAAGAGGGGCATCATATACGTTGCGGTGCTCTGCGCTGCCGGCGATGACGAGCATGGCCATGTGCACGGCGACTGCGACCTGGACTATTTTAAATTGGCCTTGGTGCACATGGGCGTAGAAGACCACAGGCATGTATCAATCTGCTTGCCTCTACGAATCCAAGTCTGGTGTGTGGGGAAATATTATCTCAACACCGACCACAGGAGGATTGGGTTTTCCGATAAGGCCCAGCGTCCTTGTCGGGAATGCACTTTGCTGGTTGCTTTATGGAGAAACTGAAGGTGACATCCTTAAGTTTGATTTTACAATGCAGAAGCTTGTTGTGATCGAGAAGCCACTAGATTGCGAGATTGCCTACCGTGGCCGTCCCCGCCTCCGAATCGTGCGGACAGAGGAAAGTGGTCTTGGACTCATCGGTTACACAGGACTGAGCCTGCAGTTATGGGAGCGGAAGGTCAATTATGATGATGTTGCTACATGGGTCCTTCAGAAAACCATTGATCTGCTCGAGAACCTTTTGCCCGTCGAGCTCAAATGGAGTTGGATACATGGGTACGATGAGGATGACAATGTGATATTTCTTTGCGCACTTAATGGTTCTTTAATGGTCCAACTTGACTCGATACAGTTCGGTAACTGTTTTCGGACCAATCTGGACGGCACCACACCTCCAGAAAGAAAAGATATCAACACCACCTACATTCCCTACAAAAGTTTTTATGCCGCAGGTAATAGCCGGTTCTTACATTGCAAGAGTAACAAATCCAATTATCGTTTGCTGTGTGTTTGCTGTAATGCCATTGCTGTGCTTAAGGGTTGCCTAACCATTCATGCATAAATTATAGAGTAGTTTGTTTCCAGTCAATTTGATTAACTTATGGTGATTGTTATTATATTATAATTGGACCAAGTGAAAGCGAGAGGAAAACTCTGCTGTCTCAAATCTTTTGATGTAGGCATGAGTGATGATATAGCTAACTTCATATGTACATATCTATGGTTGCTCATCTTCTCATAAACTAAACAACAAAATTGACCAAAGTACCAAACTCAATTAAACCTAGATTTTTGAACCATCTTAAATGTTATAGAAGTAACTTGATTTGCACATTTGGAGGCTTAGCTCGCATACAGATATATAGTTCTTTCTATCCGCAAGATAGTATTTATGTCTACTCATCTTTTCCGTTAACCACAAATCTGTGAAATCAAAAACTACATGTGTATACCTTATGTTATGAAATACGAGTATGAATAAAAAATGTAGTTCTATTCAACTTCTGTTCAAGAGTTCTGCTGCAAATGAGTTCATTTGTTTGTACCAGACTACCTGATAAGAAATAATCATCAGCACGGAGAGGAGGACAGAACAGTACAAGCATCGATTTGATGGGCTAACTACTTGTGATCTGGCCACACTGACGAGAGCTACCCCAGCTCGGGCGAGGCAAGCTTGGTCACCGCTGGATATCAATGTGATAAAGGTAAATGTTGATGCGGGCTTTGATGAGCATACAAAATCAGGGAGTACTGGATTGGTGATGCGCAACCATGCAGGAGCCTTAACACGAGCCCAAGCTTTATGGTACGAGCGAGCTGCAGATTCAAGAACGATGGAGGCTATCGCGATCAGAGATGGCATCCGCCTGGCACATGATCTGCGTCTCACGCATATTGCCATGGAAAGTGATGCTTTGGAGGTTGTTAATATTTTCAACTCCTCGTCGTATGACAGGGCGGATATTGGTGATGTATGCCGAGAGATTAGGGAGCTCAGTGGTGTTTTTGCTAGTTTTGCTCTTTCACATGTTCCACGTGAAGCAAATGAAGCTGCACATAGATGTGTCAATCAAGCTAGTAGCACTAGGAGAAGATGCCTCTGGATAAATTTTGTCCCCTCCTTTCTCCAAGATTGTACACACCACCCTTGTAAGTTGGTTGAGTAATAAACAAAGCTCCTTGATTGCAAAAAATAAAATAAACAGGTTATTTTTGTTAGATGTGTATAGTCTCTTTTCGGTATATCCCCATTGTATAAGGGGTTTCCTGCATTTTACCACACATGTATATGTATTGGCATTTGGCTATCAGTAAAGCTTAGTTGCTCTTTTATCCAACATGGTATCAGACGCCAGGTTCCTCTTCCTCTCCCGCACGCTGCAGCTCCGTGCCTAGCTTCCTCGTCGCCGGCCATCTCCTTCCTCGTTGCCGGCCATCCTCTCCACGCCCAGGCCGCGCCCTCCTCGCCCGGTGGCGCTCAGGCCTCGCCCCAGCCGCGTCCAGGCCGTGCTCCGACGCCGCGCCCAGGCTGGGCCGCGCCCGGCCGCGCTCCCGCCGCGCCTAGGC